TTGATGGCCTGTTCCAGTCTGCCCCTGGCTTTGTTTTGGCTGATGATATGGAGCTTTTTTACCTTCTCTATCCACAGATGTAGTCAATTTAATTTCTGTGTATTCTATCTGGTGAGGTCCATGTGTATAGTCATCTTTCATGTTGTTTAAAAAAGTTATTTGGAATGAAGAATTCATTGATCTTCCAAAATTCTATCATGTGATCTCCAGTATCATTTCTCTATCACCAAGGCCATATTTTCCAACTACTAATCCTTCGTCTTTGTTTTCAACATTTGCATTCCAATCACCAGTAATTATCAATACATTTTGATTGTATGCTTGTTCAATCTTAGATTGAGGAAATTGGTAGAATTATTCAATTTCATTATCACTGATTTTATTGGTTGGTGCATATATTTGAATAATAATGGTATTAACTGATATTCCTTGTAGGTATATAGATAATATCTTATCACAGACAGCATTGTACTTCATGACTGATATTGATATGTTCTTTTTGATGATGAATGCAATGCCATTCCTCTTCAATATGTCATTCCCAGCATAGTAAGCCATGTGATTGTCAGATTCAAAATGACCAATACCAGTCCATTTCAACTCACTACTGCTGAGGCTATGGATGTGTATGCATTCCATTTCATTTTTAACAATTTCCAATTCTCCTAGATTCATACTTTGTACATTCCGTATCCCAATTATTAATGGATGTTTATAGCAGTTTTTCTTCACTTTGAATTGTGCCCCATCAGCAAGTGAAGGTTCCCAAGGCTTTACACCATTTACATTATCACGGTCAACTCTACTTTCAGGAGGCAGCTCTTCCCCAGTCGCATTTTGAGTGCCTTCCAACTTCAGGGGCTCATCTTCCGGCACTATGTTTGACAATATTCTGGTGTTCTTAATCATGTTTCAATACTCAATAATGTGTTGTGGACAATGTTCCACTGCTATTCATAAGTTCTTCAATGACTAAATATTTGGAAGCAGGCAATCTCTCCTTCCTAGTCTGTCTTTGTCTGGAAGCTCATCTGAAACCAGCATACCATGGGTGATCCTGTTGGTATTTAAAATACCTGTGGCATAGATTCCAGAATCACAGAAACACACAAGCTACCACATTATGACAAACAGACAGACAAGTGATGGTACTGCCTGATAGTCATGTTGTACTGGCTAAATCACATATGTCCTAACAAGTTATTTTTATTGCTTGATTTAGCTATTACTTATTGTTAAGCACTATTGAATCAATTCCAACTCATAGTGGTCTCTTATACTGTTTCTGAGGTGTGACTGAGGGGTTTGAATGGCTGACTTTGCAGTTAGCAGTCCAATGCTTATCCTACAGCACCATGTCAGATCTCCATCAAGTACTTATTTGGCACCAATTACATACTTAGAGTCCTGGTGTGGTGCTATAGGATAAACATTGGACAGCTAACCAAAGGTGTGTGGTTCAAACCCACTAGCCACTTCTTGGAAACTCTATACAGGTTCACTATGAGTCAGAACCAACCTTATAGCACCTAACAACAATTATATATTTGTAATCTAGGTTTGGGGCCATACTAGAGACTACAACCGTCAAAAATACATGGCAGCATAGAATTGACATTCTAAAAATGAGAGAAATAAAATAAATAATAAGCATTATCATTAAGTAGATTGTGGAATATGACTCATAGTGACCCTGTATAGGGTTTCTTAGGAGTGGCTGGTGGGCTTGAACAGCCAACTTTTTGATTAGCAATCCAGTACTTACCCTATAATGCCAAAGAAGGTGAATGAAATCTATTTGCCTTCCTACATTTAATAGGGGGAGCAGGGTGGCTTAGTAGGATAAACTAGCCATAACGGTTTGAGCCCACCAGTCACTCTGTTCCTGTAGATTTACAAGTTTGGAAGTGCTATTCAGGGTCACTTACCAACAACAACAAACAGCTTAAGGTCTAACATCAAGATTTAAATAAAGTGAGGAAATTAGTCACCTGCTGATTTGCCGAAAGCCTTTCTAGGCAGAAGGGATGTGAAGGCTCTAAGGTTTGAGAATGCCTCCTGCCTTGGAGGAGCAGCAGTGTGGCTGGGGAAGTGTGAGTGCTGGACACATGTTCACTGAAGTCATGGGCCTGCTCAGGTAAAGCCTTGCTGGTCACTCACATTGTGAGGGGAGTCAATGGCTGCCTGAAGTTTAATGTGATCTACCCTGGCTGCTGTGGTTAATAAATCACACCAGGGCTTTACAAATGTCATTGGGAAATTGCAGACAGAGTTGGTGGTGTTTGTTGTTAAGTATCATCTAGTTGATTCCAACTCACAGTGGCCCTGCGTAAGAGGTTCTGAGGAAAAATTGGTAGATTGGAACCATGGGCCTTAAGGTTAGCAGTTCAGTGCTTATCCGACAGTACCACAACAGGTTACTCTTATTGTTGTTAAGTGCCATGGAGTCATACTAATCCTGGATAGTATTTCTGAGGCTTTAAATTTTCATGGGAGCCAAAAGCCCCATCTTTCTACCACAGAGAGGCTGGTGGGCTCGAACCACAGACCTTTGGTTCTCAATCCAGTATCTACTGTATGGCGCCACCACACACCACATAAAGTAGGTGTCATGATTTACCCTGATCTTTGTCAATAATTGAAAATCACATTTCTTCTTAAATTCCTGGCACTATGCTGAACAGTCAAATCTCAACTCAGTGTACGTGAACCATCTCCACAGGCTACCAGGAAAAAAAAAGGTCCCCATTTCCAAGCCACAGGATTCACTCTGTTGACATCTAAAACAACTATGCCATTTCTATCATCTAGAACCTCCCTTACTATCTATCACCCAAGTTTTAGGAGCCTCCATACCATCTTTAATGTATACACATACATGTGTTTTATGTACAGGTCAAGCAAATGATAGCAAACTGAAGAACTCTTGTTGGTCCCAGACACCAAGTATCAGAGCCCTGCCCCCACCAAGGCAGGGAGGCAGCAAGTTCTGTGAGGAGTCACTGCTTTACAGACTCATTCTCCTCTGGATTTCCTGCCTCCTTCGCCTGCCAAACCTCACTTCTGAAAAGCCAGGCTTCACCTTCTCTGACTCAGGTCAGTTGCAGAAAGAGTCCTGATTTCATATCAGGCTGTAACATTAGTTTTCTGGGTGCATGTGACCTCAAGCGGAAGCCTGGGCCTCCCATTAGTGAGCTCTGTCTTCGGGAGCTGTATGTGGGCTATGGAGGAGTTGACCAGAAGGCTCTGGTCTGCCCTAAAGTCCACAAGGACAAATAACACCAGTGTATACTCTGGGGGACTGGGATGACCCATCTATGGGATGTTTCCTGTATTCCCTATAACCTGGATGTTTTGCTCATTATTTGATCATCCTCAGATGGGAGATGTGACAAGCCGGGCAGCCGCAGCCACTCCTGTGCACAACGGCAGCTGAAAGGGGCCTTTGTCTCATGGTCCTTCACGTCAGCTGGGCAAGGGCCCAGGAGCAAAGCAAAAGAGGAAAAGCAAATCAACCTTCCCGTTCCTCAACCTTCCCCAGCACCGAAGCAGCATGAATTACCAGCTAGAATTAGCAACTATGTCATTTCCATAATTTAGGAAGATAACTCCATGGAAGATGTTTTGTTATTCTGAAGAAGAACATGTTTAAGCTTAAAAAAAAAAAAAAAGTATCATTTAGTAGCAATAGCAGTAATAGGAAGAAGGGTAGGAGGAGATGGAAAAAGAATAGCCAATTCCTTTTCAAATGGCCAAGGAGAAATAATGTGGAATCTTTCCTATCAGAAGCCTAGATAGTGGACATTTTTATTTTAGAAAAAATAAAATCATAATCTAAAGAAAGAAATAACATGAATACAGACTTCATATTAGAGAAATTTGAAGTCATCTGCTCCCTTCAGAATTTGACATGATGTAGAAATATGCCAGATATTTTTGTTTCTATTTTTGTTTTCTCCTGTAAATAGGGTGCTTAGGAGACGCTGTAAATAGGAGGATAGATGAAGCAGGTTTGTTGACTGGTCTGTCAGGAAGTGACCACTTGTTTCTGTCTTTGGGTCTAGACGTATCATAGGAGTAACACCACACAGCAAATTGGCACCTGTTTCAACAGCAAGAGTTCATGCATGATAGTCTTATACTTGCATAGATGTATAGTGTGGTGCTGTGGGTTAATGCGCCAGACTGCAAACTTGTTTGAACTGCAAGGTCGGTGGTTCAAGCTTACCAGTCGCTCCTTGGAAACCTTGTATAGGGTCGCTATGGGTCGGATCCAACTCGACAGCACTTAACAACAACATGTTAAATGTGTGAGGGTTATACAAGACTGAATACAGATATAAGTGGGAGCTGAGATATGCCTCACTCTGATTATATTATATATGACATTTCTCCCTTCTAACAATCTTCTCATCCTTACTTGAAGTAAAGATTTGAATTTGAGTTACTTATATTTTGAATATTTTCAAAGGGTGACACATTTGTAGAGTAAGCAGTCGTTTATAAGGAATGAGGTCTAGGGTTCAAGTAAACCATCCTTCATGTTCTCATATCCTCTGGTATATGCTTTGGAATTCCCTCATCAAAATGCCATCCATGTAAATGAAGATTTTGATCCTTGTTCAAAATTTGAAGCCTATTATTATTAGTCACATATCAGTCAAACATTGGTCCAAAAATTTTTGTGGGAACTAGGGGAAGGAAAGAACAGTGGGGAAATGAGATCGATAGCTTAGGAAAGTTGTGATCTAAGTAAATTCCACTGAGTTTATAGCTTTACCTACAAATGATTCTAAGCCTATAATACAACAGGGAAAGGGACATAATTCTCTACTATTAGATAGGCTAGATGTCCTGTCAACCACTGTAATTCAAGTTTTGATGATTTAATACTTTATTTCCATTAAAATTAGTGAATTAATAAATGAATGAGTGAACTTTGATCTAGGATTTAACAGCAATAAAAGCAATATTGCTGAAAAGAAGTAGAGATGAGGTAGGGATCAAACATTTGGCTTTCTTTATCTTCATTCTTTTCTCTTTTTTCAACCTCTCAGTTCCAGTTACTCCAAATATGGTTCAAAATAAAATTTAAAGATGACTCTTTGGTTTCAATAGACAAAGAAATATGACACTAAGGTCATAGTAAAACAAACTACTGCCCAAGTTAAATTAAATATCTTCCATCAGTTCAGCAATTCATACTTTCCAAAGACTTTAATGCACTCTGGATACATAATTTACTTGACTCTTTTGATTTTGTGGGCAATTCCTGTATACACTTTACAGCTGAGGTAGTTGACACCCATAAAAAGGGTATGAGTTGCTGGAGATTATCTTTAGAACCTATATTCAATCATTCTTAAACACTATCTTATTCAAATTTACTTGGCTACCAACAATTAAAATCTATGAAAATCTAATATATTGTAGGATAAGCACTCTACTGCAAGGTCAGTTTGAATGGCAAGGTTGGTTTGAACTACAAGGTCAATTTGAACTGCAAAGTCTGCAGTTCAAACTCACCAGCCACTCTTCAAAAACCCTGTACAGACTCACTATGGTTTAGAACCTATAATGTCACTTAACAACAATCAGCTGAAAACCGGAGAACACTGTAGGAGTCAGCATATGAAAAGACCAGAGAGTTAGAAACCAGCTCAAGGACTCCAGTGACCAAAAATCCACAGTTACCTGAGTTGTGGCGGCAGCTTGAACCTGTTACGCACGTCATCAAAGCGGTTACCAAGATAAGGTGTGTCCACTGTCACAAATATAGCCTTGTAGCCCATCCGCTCAGCCCGTCGCACTAGCTGCTTGGTGACCTCACGGTCCTTGTAGATGTAGAGTTGTAGCCAGCGAAGTGTATTGGAACCAGCCTCTGCCACTTCTTCAATTGACGAGGTTGCCCAGGAGCTTAACATCATACCAGTGCCCATTGACCGGCAGGCTGAGGAAGAAAGGATAAGATCAAAGTAGGCCTGCATCCATTCTTCACAATCCTTCATCGTGCTGTTCAAGAGATAAAGGTCCCTACCTACAAGCTAAGGAGCTCC